TCTTTCCCTTCTGCTGCTCCCTTCCCTGGCCCCAGGCTTCTTGGCAAGGTTAAGCCAACTGGTTTAGGTCTCTTCAAATGGAGGAATCTCCCAGCTGCTGGCTGTGGGGCACATCTCCTCACCCCTCCCTTTGGCTCATCTTCCCTTCCCCAGCACAGAAGAATGGAACACGACACCACCTTTGGTCTCCCCCAGCGTAAATGTTTCATGGGATGGCACCTGGCCACCTCTGCTATCGGTGTCTTCAGCTGCATGACCCAGACAGGGTCTGACTCAAATGGCCTGGTGACCCCTCCCCTCCCCAGGCCCTCCCAGCACTGCCTGTTCAGCAAATGGCACCTGTTGCAGGAGGTTGGGGGAGTGGGACAGTGGAGAGAATGAGAGAGAGAGGGTTGTGTTTCCAGCATCCCATAGCTCTGATATGGAGGACCAGCTGGCAAGCATGCCACGGTCCATTCTACTCCTTTTTGTCACAGAACTGCTAAATCTTCATTCTCCCTTCTTCCTCCCCACTGTCCACTAAGACTTGCCTCATCCCTGCCCCAGCCTCTCCCTCATCATATAGACGGAGTAAAGAGAGAGAGAGAGATGGCAGGGGGATTGGGGAGGCAGCTCTGGAACCAGGTAAGTAGCCTGAGTACAAGATTCAGAGTCGAAGGTTCTGTCCCTCACTACCTGTGTGCTAAAAGACAAGTTACCGGCTAAGAGCCTCTTCTGTAAAACAGGAGGAAAACCCACCTCACTGTGTCATGATGAGGCTCCTCCAGATGATACATGTGAAAGTACTTTACAAATCATTACACTTATGTAAATGTGTGCCTCAATAAAAAATGTCTTTGGAATACAGCTAGTTCTTGGGACTCACTGCCTTTATTCTATTGCCTTTGTTGCCAGATGATCTGCTGTAGCCTTGGCTAAGTCTTATCTTCTCTCTCAGTCCCAGATTCCTCATCTATAGTTGGGGGGAGGATGCTATAGCTCTCTAGGGTCCCCTCTAACTCTGACAGTCTTGAGTCTACGTGTTTGGTTGTATGGGATTCTGATCCCTATTCCATTCTCCCTGTTAACACTGCTTCTCATTCTAACCAATGGTGTCAAGATGATTTCACTCTAGCCTTCAGTCCCTAACAAGGCTCCTGGACGTTTCCCTAGTATGGACAGTCTGTGTGTGATCCTTGGAGGGACCAAGGGCTGCAGGACAAAGTCTTAGGCATCCCTTCCCGGGCTCTAGAGGAGAGCAGGACCAGCTGGCCCAAGGACCCAGTGGCCTGCCTGGGGCCAGGAGCAGGAAAAGGGGGACAGGGAAGGCCTTGCCTCTGAGCACCACCAGTAGCCACCTACCCCACATAGTTCTAAAAGACCCTCTTCCCCTCCCCCATCACAAAATATCACTTCCACTTGCTGCCTCAAATGCTCACACTTGCTGCATCAAGTATGGAATCCTATAATTACGGAACAAAGACCTTCACTCTACCATAAGTGACTTGCTCCTGGGCAAATCATTTCCCCTCTCTTGACCTCAGTTCCTCATCTACAAGAAGAGGAGGTTGAACAATTTGATCTCTGAGGCCTTTCTGGTCTCAGCCATCCTAAGATTCTCTAATTACTCTTCCAAGGCATCTGCAGGGCATTGAGTATGGCTGCGCTATAAAGGAGGACAGCTGAGTAGGAGGCTCAGAGACTCCACAGAAGGTGGGATGGTGGGCCCCTGCCTGCCCTCCCGCTATCCCTCCTGCTATCCCTGCTCACCCGCAGCCAGCTGCATCCATGCACAGATCTTGTAGACAGTGGCCGTGTTGCAGACAAAGAACAGGCTGAAACAGATGATGGAGCCAATGATGAGGAACATGGCCAAGGCCACAAAGAACATGGCGGTCTTGAAGGCTCTAGAGGGGATGGAGGAGAAGTCCAGCGGGCCACCCTTGCAGATAAGCTCAGACGACAGCACGTTGCCCACGCAGTAGGAGAAAAGGCCAAAGTAGCCTGCCTGGGGTGTGCTGACGCTGTCACCTATCCAGTAGGGCTGGATGAAGAGCGCCATGACCAGCACGGAGAAGCAGATGGTGAGTGTGCCCCACATCACACCTACGGCCCTCGAGTTCCGCACATAGTTGGTATGGTAGATCCTGGCTGCCTCCTGGGCAGGGAGCAACTTCACCATGGTGAGGGCACTGGGTCCTGGGCTGGGGACTTGTGGGCTGGAAGTGGCTTTGCGGATGGATGTCTGGGCCACCCCTCAGCCAGGTTTGGGGAGAAGGCGGAGGTCAGGGCACAAGGTAAGGCTCCCTCCAAGGTAGAAGAAAGAGCACAGGGAAGATGACCTTGGCCTCTTCAGGGGAATCTTGTCCAGGTGCCTGTGTCCCCTCTTGCACTAGCCGGGCTGTCTCCTGTCTCCTGCCTCCTCTCAAACCCGCCGTGGTCTCGGGCCTGCTGGCGCCGCCCTGCCCCGCCCCCAAGGCCAGCTGAGAGCACCAGAGAGCTCCGCCCCCTTCTCGCGGCCCGGCTCCTCCTCCCTCCCTCCTCCGAGAGCACTGCTTTCAGCACCGTGGCCAGCGCCTCGGGACTCTGGGCAGAGATAGGTGCAGAGCGGCCGACCTACCCACTGCACACCCCCGCCACTGGGAATCAAGGCCCCCCCTTCACCCTCCTGAGCAGGGAAGGCAAGAATTGAAGGCGTGAGGCTGCGGTTGTCACATTCCTCTCGCTTGGTTTCCAGCCGCAAAACCGATTCTTGAGCGCAGTCCGTATCCCATCCCACCGCTCCCTGGCTCCCTAGTCATCCTCCCGGAACCTCCAATCCCCCGGAGGCCAGCAACGCCTTCCGGGTCACTGGTTTCTCGTCCCTATCACTCAGTCGACAATTACTAAGAGCCTATTGTGTATTACGCCCTAAGTTGGAGGATATCTTCCCTCAGCAAGAACCATAGAAAAAAAAGGACAGAGCCCCTGCTCTCAAGGACCGTGAGGTATTTACATATATGTAAATATATGTGTATTTGCAATGCAGACTGATAGGGTGATAACAGAAGCTACAAAGTAAAGAACAGTTCTCATGAGCCTTCTCAGACCTTAACATATGCTTTTTGTTCAATACAATGTCTTTCTCCTCTTGTTTATATTTTTGTTGCCTATTTCTTTTTTTAAATTTACTTTTTATTGAAGTATAGTTGATTTACAATGTTGTGTTAATTTCTGCTGTACAGCAAAGTGACCCGGTTATACACATATACACATTCTTTTTAAATTCTTTTCCATTATGGTTTATCCCAGGACATTGAATATAGTTCCCTGTGCTATACAGTAGGACCTTGTTGCTGATCCATTCTATATGTAATAGTTTGCATCTACTAACACCAAACTCCCAGTCCGTCCCTCCCCCACCCCCCTGCATATTTCCTTTTTTCCCCTCTTTTTCAAAATATCTATATTTTTCCTGAATTTATAGGTAAATACATGATTAGTATATAGAAAAATTCAAGAAAGTTACATAAAAGAATAAAAATCACTCATAACCCCAAACTGGGAGCTTTAGGCAGGTCTGGATTTGAGTCAGCCACTTGTTAGCTAAGGATGTAACTTTCCCAAGCCTCAGTTTATTCACCTATAAGATGGGGATGATAATAGTATCTGTCACATAATGGTTAGGTAAAATAACATATGTAAAATGTTTAGCCCAGGGCCTCACATATAAAAGTGCTCAGAAATGTTTATTATTATTATTACTATTATTATTACTATTGTTATTATTATTACCTCTGTTAACATATTGGTGTATTTCCCTCCTCCTGGACATACTGCTTTACACAGTTGGATAATAATGTATACGTATTTAGCATCCAATTTTTTTCTCACATTACTAGTTTTTCAAAAACATGATTTTAGTCTTTATGTAATAGTTGTTTAATTATTCCCCCCTTTGGGGGTATTTTGACAGTTTCCAATTTTTCACTGTTAAAAAGAACCTTGCATTAAACATATTTGTGCTGTTACCTATGTTTCCTCTTCCTCTTAAATCTCTGGTTTTGTGACCAGTCTTTGCCATCAGACTGGAAGTTCATCAAGGCATGGCCTGTGTCTCCACCATCAGACTGAGACCTTCCCCAGAGCAGGGGCTGTATGTTCCCCCATTCAGAAAAGGCCCTAACCTGGGGCCAAGCTCTTTAGGAGCTGATGGACATTCTTTGTTTGGCCTGACCAGCAGAACTTCCCCTGCCTCTGAGAGAAGTCTCTCTTGCTTTCTGAGGTTCTGGTGGGATAGCCAATCACAGGGCACACAGACCCTAGAGACAGGTCTGGTTGTGTGACCCAAGCTAGGCCATCAGTCTCTCCCTAGGGAATCTGAATTGGTGGTGGATTGACATGAGGAAAAAAACGTATTGTTTAGTCAGGCCTTGGCAACATCCTCAAGAGATAATCCATAAACTCCTGCTACTGGGAGCTTTACAGCCACCTTGATTTTTGCCCCACCCAAGACAGGTGGCTCTGTTCCATCTTCAGCTCTGTGACTCACCCACTATCTTTCCATTTCCTTCTTTTTTCCTTTCATTAGCTAGAGTAGGTTTTCGCTATTGGCATCAAAGAGTCCTAACCTGGGAAATTCCCTGGCAGTCCAGTGGTTAGGACTCAGCACTTTCACTGCAAGGGCACGGGTTCAATCTCTGGTCAGGGAACTAAGATCCTGCAAGCTGTGAGGCCAAAAAAAAAAAGAACCCTAACCTGCTCCAAATATTAGCACCAGAAAGGGAGTTTCAGGCCCAGGCTTCAGAAAAAAGACTCTGGTATTCCTGTTTATGTCTGGAGTTGGGAAAACCGCAGCCCATGATATGGAGAGGAGAAGCAGCTAATCAAATTATCAGCTGCAAACAATAGGAATCATGTGCCCTCTGGGGGTCAAGTTCTGGGGAACTGAGTAGATTTGGCCACAGACAAATTTAAAGGTAGTGAAGAAATCAGGAACACAGAGTAGGGTGACTGCTTATAAAGACAATGAATAATGTCAAGCAAGACAAGCCCAGTTGTCTAGATTATAGATTCAAGGAATAAAATTAATTGCAAGACCTTTATGTGCAATGGCTCAAAGAATTCATTAAGTCTTGTTGCTAGAGGGCATAGGACCCTTAAAATAAGATTCAGGTGTATGAAAGGACTGAACTGCAAGGCCTTTAACCCATCCCATGCTCCTGAATGGTTAGACCAGATCACCTCAGGAACTGGTAGAATCCTCACTTTGGCCCCCTGACCCTTGAGCTAAAGGGTAATATACTAGGAAGAGCTAAGCCAAGGCCCCTGGTGCTCCCTCTCACTCTCCAAATAATAAATCAAAAATAGTATTATGTCCCCATGGGAGCTGTAGAAATCAGTCACTATCAATGCCTGGAAGGGTGCAGGGGTGGTGGCTCCTGTCTCTAGTGGACATTTGTCACATTGTTTTTGGTTTTGGCTGACCAGCCTCCTAACGTCCTTCCTATGTGCGGGTGATACCCTGCTGTGTGGGTCCTGCGGGGGTATGTTGAGCCTCTTCTCTCACTGTGGAATTGAAGCCCCTTCCTCGGCCTGCTCTAGAGAGAGCATGCTGGCACCAGGTAATGATGGATTGCTGTGGCATGACATCCCACCCTCCATGGGAAGGTCCTGAGGACAGCAGGGACGGGAAATATTCATGGAAGGTAAAACTTCAAGTGCTGTAACTATCTATCCCCAAAAGATCTATCAATACATCCTAATCCCCAGAACCTATGAATGTTACATTATTTGGAAAAGGGTTTTTTGCAGATATAATTAAATTGAGGATTTTGAGATAAGGAGATCCTACCAAATTATCTCGGGGTGGGGGGGCCTCCTAAATCCAATGACAAGTGTCCTTCTAAGAGACACAGACAAGAAGACAAAGAAGAAAAGGCGACACGCCTATGGAGGCAGGGACTAGAATGAGGCAAACACAGCCAAGGAAGCTGGCAACCACCAGAAGCTAGAAGGGGTGGGGAATGGATCCTTCCCTAGAGCCTCTGTAGGGAGTGCAGCCCTGCTGACACCTTGATTTTGACTTCTGACCTCCAGAATTATAAGTGAACAAATTTGTTGTTTTAAGCCACCTAGTTTGTAATAATTTGTTATGGCACCTCAGGAAATGTACCACCTCTCCTGTAAGGGGAGAGGGCCTAATGTACAGATGAACACCACTTTGTGGGCAGCAGATAATGGACCAGTCATATGGTCATTATCTTAGACCAAGTAAGTTTGGAGAGTTAAGTAAAAGTTTGGGGAAAGGGAGCCTTCAGAATAGGGGCACAAACTAGAGAGTATTTGGGTTCAATGAGAATGTACTCCAGAGGCCTGCTACTACAGAGTCTTTTAACATCAGTTGGACAGGATGATTCACTCTGTGAATGTTAGCCAGCCTCCTTCCTCAGCACCCCCATTCCAATCCCACCGTGCACTGGCTCAAAGACCCCTAGCAATGTGTCCACGGTGGGACAGATGGAGACTGTGGATGAATCTTCCATCAAAGCCAATACAGCCAGTCACTACTGGCCCCCAACAATATCGACAAACTCTGAGCTCCTGGTATGATATGTATAACTCTCAAAACTCAATAATAAGAAAACAAGCAACCCATTTAAAGATTGATGGCAAAAGATGCACACAAATGCTTCTATCAAAGAAGATACATGGATGGCAATTCAGCACATGAAAAAACACTCAACATCATTAGTCAGTAGGCAAATGCAAATTAAACCACACATACCATTATACACCAGTGAGAAAGGCTCAATTAAAAACAAAACCCCCCAAAACTGACAATGTCAAGTACTGGCAAGGATGTGGAGCAACTGGAACTTTTGTATGTTGCCGGTGGGAATGCATATTTGTTCAGCCACTTTGGAAAACAGTTTGACATCTCTTAGAAATGGAAACAAACATTTGCCATGAGACTCAGCCGTCTCAGTCCTGGGTATTTTTCTCAGAGAAATGAAAACTTGTGTTCACACACACAAAAAAACATGAATATGTGTAGCAGCTTTATCCATAATTGCCCAAAACTTTTCAGAAATAAACCAAATGTCTTTCAGGTGGGAAATGACAATGGACTTCCACCCAGACAATGGACTACTACTCAGCAATAAAAAGTAAGTAGCTACTGAAACCTGCAACAGCATGCCTGAATCTCAAAGGTGTTAAGAAGCGAGACACCACCCCCCAAGAGAAATATATACAAACTGTGTGATTTCATCTATATTACATATAGAAAAGGCAAAACTATAGGGAAATAAAACAGATTTGTGGTTGCCAGGATCTGGCGGTGGGGTTGATTATAAAGGAATCATACAAGGGAATTTTTTTGTAGGTGATGGAAGTGTTCTGTATCTTGGTTGGGGTGTTGGTTCCATGATGTATGCGTTTGTCAAAACTCATGGAACTGTATACTATAAAGGGTGGATTTTCTGTG